GGGGGATAGAGGGGGGAGGGAGGGAGAGAGAGAAAGAGAGGAGGAAGAGGAGGAGGAGGAAGTGGGGGAGGAGGAGGAGGTGGGAGTGATAGCTTTGAAGTGTGTCACGTGACTAAATTCGAAGTGTGGGCGGGCTTGAGGCGCCAGGACGCTGCCTGGTCTCTTAGCAACGGCTCGGCAGGGAAACATGAACGCTGAGGGTAACCGGGAGCTTCAAGCCAAGGAATATTTAGAAAAACATCGGATAATGGAGCTGCTGAACCAACTCACTAGCTTCCTCCTCTTTGTCCGACCAAGTAAGGGTCTTGCCTCCATTGGCTTTCTGTCTACCTCTGCCCAGGCGAAGGGTCCCCAATCTGCCTCTTTGCTCCCCATAGCCTATTCTTCCCACTCACTCCATTCTCTGCCTCCAGACAGTGGAGCCCTGCTCTTGTCATTGACTCTGTAACACCCCTTTCCCAGTCAAACATGGTAAATGGCCTCTTGCCGCTAGCTTGGTGCTGCAGGGAGGCTAGGAGAGGCCTCAGCAGGTGGCAGAGTCTGGGTCCAGGTCTACCTCGCAGTTATGAGCAATTTGGAAAAGACGGAAGGTCTGTCTCTTCCACTGGAAAAGGGAGATAATAGTACCGACCTCATGAAAATTGGTGTGGGGGGCGGGGTTTATTAAATGAATTACAGCTAAGGCAGCCTCAGCCAGGCAAACAACAGATCTTTTCAATTCTAAGGGTTCCCTAATTATTAAGAAAGCCAAATAATTGATGAGTGAGCTGCTGGGATCCTCCTGGGGAGCCAGTTTTTTCCCTGTTATTTTAATGCATTAGATCCTTTCAAAATTTGAGTTATTTCATAATTCATATATATATATATATATATATATATATATATATATATATATATCACCACATGTATAGTACCCCCACATATCTCTGTGTGTGTATCCACATATGGGTATTCCACATGTATGGTTCCTCTCAGCAGGTAACTGTCATCTCTAACAACTGTGACCCTAGCTCTTGGTCTTCCTGCTCTAATATGGTCCATTACTAACTCACGTGTTGCCAGTGGTCTCAGACTACACTGATTGTAGTCTGAGTACTTGTTTAAAGTACTGATGAAGCACACAGAACAGAAAGGAGATAGGATTTTATTCAGAGGCAAAGAGAATACAGGCCAGATAGACTACAGAGAACATTGGCAAGAGTCACTCAAGAGCCACTGGTTGCTTCCTAAGTGTTCTTTTCCAGTTTCAAAAGGAATAAGAGTTGTTTGCTGAGGGTAAACTAGAGTGTTAGTGGCCTTTATTTAAAATTATATGTATTCATTAATTTATTCAGTGTATGCAAGTGTATGAATGTCAGAGGACAGCTTTAGGAGTCTGTTCTCTACTTCCACTGTGGAGTCCTGGGATCAGACTCAGGCCATCCTTGTCAGTGGCAGGTGCTGAGCCAGCTACCTGAGCTGTTTATTTGGAATGAAAGGATGGCTATATAAGCCTTTATTTACTGTATGTGCCCTATTTGGTGCATCTAATTTCAATAATACACACTTGCAATTATGAGTGTGTGTAAGATGGTAAATAGGGGTTTTCTGCAAATTCACTTTGAGGACACATTTGCCTAGCTACTCATTCACCCAAGTCTAGATGGGTAAGTCCTAATTTTAGGATGCATTTGGCCACAAAAGAAGAGTTACCAAGGCTTACAATGGAACTTATAGTTCAGAGTGACCCAATTGCTTTTGTTTAGAGAGAGGTGTGTACACAGTTCAATGAAGGTGGGAGATCCTGGGTTGCAAAGTGCATTGTTTGTAAAAGTGTGTGCATGTGTATGTGTGTATGCAGATAATGATAGAAATATCTATAGTAGAGATAAAAAACAAGGCATGATAGTACATGCCTGTGATCCCAGCATGCAAGTAGCTTAGGCAAGAGGATTTTGAGTTTGAGGTCAGCCTGGGATACACAGTGAGCTATAAGTCAGCCTGGGATGCATAACAATACCTTATCTCAAAACACACTCACACACACACACTCACACACACACACACACACACACACACACACACACACACACACACACACACATACACACACACACACCCCAAGAAGGCAGTAAGGAAGTCAGAGAAAAGCCAGTGTCACAGGGTCACACATTAATAACATAAAAACCTGTCACATACATAATGATCAGTTTAAAAACTTGAAGGGGTGTTGTAGAAATAGTTTAGTGCTTATGAGCAAGTGTTGCTCTTATAGAGGACCTGAGTTTTGTTCCCAGCACCCACACCAGGCAGCTCACGACCAATTGTAACTGAAGCCCTCTCTCTTCCCACCCTCTCCCCTCCAATAAATCTATTTAAAAAACACACACACACACACACACACACACACACACATACACACACACACTCCAGGGTGCTGGGAATGTAGCTTAGTTAGTGGAGTGCTTGCAAGCATGTATGAGGCCCTGGGTTTGGGCTCCAGTACCATGTAAACTATGCATGATATCACCTTATTCCCAACTCCACATGGAGGCAGGAAGACTAGGAGTTCAAAGCCAAAATAAGAAAATAAATAAATACTTGTGGTACTCCTTGAAACAGGTGTCTTAGTTAGGGTTACTGTTGCTTTGATGAAACACCAAAATAATTTGAGGAAGAAACTGTTCATCATTGAGGGAAGTGTTGACAGGAACTCAAGTAGAGCAGAAACCTGCAGGCAGGAGGTGATGCAGAGGACCTGGAGGACTGCAGCTCACTGGCTTGCTTCCCATGGCTTGCCCAGCTGGCTTTCTTATAGAACCCAGGTTCACCAGCCTGATCTTACAGAGGCATTTTCTCAATTGAGGATTCCTCCACTCAGATGACTCTAGGTAGGTTTTGTGTCACGTCGACAAAACCTAGCCAGCACACATCTTTGGTTGGTTTGTTTTTAGAAACAAGATTTTTTTCACTCTTTTTGTTTTCTTTCTTTCTTATTTTATAAATTTTATTTAAATTAGAAACAATCTTATTTTATTTGTCAATTCCAGTTCCCTCTCCCTCCCATCCTCCCATACCCCTCATCAACCCCCCCATCCCATCTCCATCCACTCCCCAGGGAGGGTGAAGCCTTCCACAAGGGATCGTCAAAATCTGTTATGTCATTTGGGGCAGGGCCTAGGTCCTCCCCATGTATCTAGGCCAAGAGAGTATCCCTCCATGGGAAATGGGCTACTGAAGGCCTGAAACCCATTCATGCACTAGGGATACATCCTGGTTCCACTGCCAGAGGCCCCATAGACTGCCTAGTCCTCCAGGAGGCCTGGTTTGGTCCTGTGTTGGTTCCCCAGCTGTCAGACTGGGGTCCATGAGCTCCCACTTGCTCAGGTCAACTGCTTCCGTGGGATTTACCAGCGTGGTCTTGACCCCTTTGTTCTTCACTTCTCCCTCTCTGAAACTGGATTCCAGGAGGTTGGCTCAGTTCTTAGCTGTGGATCTCTGCTTCTGCATTTAAGGTAGTCATCATTGTCATTTTAGGGGAAGGGCATTTAAGGTAGCCTCTCCACTATTGCTTAGATTTCTAGTTGGAGTCATCCTTTTGGATGTCTGTACAATTCCCTAGTGCCTGATTTCTCTTTAAACCTATAGTGGCTCTCTCTATTGATGTTTCTCTTTTCTTGCTCTCCTCTATTCCTCTCCCCACTCAATCTTCCTGATCCCTCATGTTCTCTTCCCCCTTCCTCTTCTCCCCTTCTCTTTCTGCTACCTCCCTCCCCCTGCCCCATGCTCCCCATTTGTTCAAGGGTTCTTGTAGAGACAAGGTTTTATATCCCAGGCTGCCTTTCTAGGTGGCTGAGACTGCCCTTGAACTCCTGATCATTCAGCCTCTACTGCCCCAGTGCTGGCATACATCATCATACACGTTAAATGCTATTCAGAATACCATTTATAGACAACTAGAAGCTTGAATGCTACCAACCTAATTAAAGATATTAAACACAATTTTTTGGAAGTGTGAAATGTATTTGTGGCCACAATACTGTTGTAATATAAAAAAACACAGAGTCCTTCTGGTGTTTAATTCCAGTTGTCAACTTGGAGTTCTAGAATCATCCAGGAGATGGGCCTCTAGCATGTCTGTGGGACTGTCTTGATTAGGTTAATTGGGATAGAAAACCCTGTCCACCAAGTGACACCATTCCCAGAATCAGGATCTGGGACACAAAAAGGGAGAGAGAGCTGAGCAGAAGCCTTCACCTCTGTTTCCTGCCAGTGGATACACAGTGACCATCTTCTGCCATTTTATGTCCTACTTCTGCAGTGACTGTCACATAACTGCTTCTATCTTACACATGCCACCTCCCCAGAAGACCACGTTTCTCTAAGGCTCTGTTCTGTTCCCCTTGTCTTAGCTGGCCAGCTTCTTCTCTGCATCATACTATCCCCTCTGTCTTTCTGGCTTTCATCCCTATCTGCAAATCAGATCATCCAGAAAGCTTTAAACAAATCCCAGGTTCAGTCTCTGGACTGTGACACTCAGCCCTTTGAGGTAGAGCACTGCTGAGTTCAGCTACACAAGTGCTATCTGCTGTAGGGTAAGTTTCGTGGAAGCAAGGTCTGCTTCCTCTCTGAGTGCCTGGACTGTTCTACTTGAAACACCATTTAATTTCATATAAGAATGAGTTTCAATTGTTTATTTGCAGAAAAACCAAGAGAGTATTTAATCTCTCTTCTGGAACGACTGAGAATTGCCAAGGTAACAGGCGTAACATTTCCTTTCTTCATGGACAACTCTAATATTGTGTCAATGTTTGAGATGATGGACTCCTCTGGCAGAGGCTGCATATCATTTGTGCAGTATAAGGAAGGTCAGTGTGACCTATACCAAGTAAGGCCATTCCATAACTCTTTCTAGCTGAAAATAATTCCATTGTGTACATTTTCTTTTCTCCCCATTCTTGCTTTTGCAGCCCTAAAAAACTTGGGTCTGTGTACTGCAGATGAAGTTTTAAATGATGATGGAAATTTAATAACTTTGGATAAATTCAGAGATGAAGTGTAAGTTTTTTTCAGTATTTTAATAATATTTTATGACTTTGAAGTATTAAAGTACAATTGACTTTAGAGTACTACTACCCTTTCTTGTTTAGTATGGGTATATGTGTATGAGTGTACATGTACTTGTGTGTGTGATATGTGTGCATGCATGGCCATGGGACACATATGGATGTTAGAGCACCCTTGGGGTTCCCTTCTTACCTCCCACCTTGTCTCTCTGTTGTTTGCTGCTGCACTATGTACCCCAGGCTAGCTAGCCATAACCTTACAGGGTTCTCAGTCTCCACCTCTCATCTTGCTGTAGAAGAGGAGCTCACCCTACTTTGTCCAGCCTTACATGGGCTCTGAGAGCTCAAACTCAGGTCTTTGTACTTGCACAGCAAGCATTTTGCCTACTAAGCCATCTCCCCACTCACCACCCACTACTTTTGAGTGAAAACTTCATCCCCTTTAGTTTTCAGTAATTATGAAGTGAAAGCATGGAAAACTCACCCTGGGAAAGGAGAGGGATAATGATAGTTAGAGAGGAAGTTCTAGAGGCAGACTCATTCTTTTTTTCATTAGTAGACCTCATCACTGCAGTGCATGCCTTTAATCCCAGCAGTCAGGAGGTAGAATCAGGAAGATCTCTGTGAGTTCAGGGACAACTGATCTATACAGTGAGTTCCAGGACAGGCAGGGCTATATAGAGAGACCCCGTCTAACTAAAAAAAAAAAAATGAAATCTCACCATTTCTCAAATACAAGGTGAGGAGGCCCTTTCTGCTAGAATTACTAAGATTCCACACAATAGTTGGAAAGTCTGTGTATATATAACGTAGAGTAGGGTCAGTGACAAGGCTGACTGGGTGGAAGTGTGTCCTGGCAACCAGAGTTTGATCCTTGGGACTCATATAAAGGTGGAAAGGGAGACCTGATGACACAAAATTGTCCTCTGACGTCCACATGCATGATGACACCCCCCATATACATCATACATATACACACAATTATAAGTGTAGATTATATGATTTCAAATAGATAGAGCAGGCATCTTGATGCATGCTTGGAATTCCAGTATGTTGGGAGGAGTGGCAGGAGAATCATAGGATCAATGCCAGCCTGAGGTACAAAGCAAGTCAATCTCAACCGCACTCTCTGGAAAAAAAGAATAGCTAATTAAGCTTATTCGAGGATTATTAATCAAGGGATCATTGCTTGGGCTGGGGATGTTGGTGGAGCTCTTGCCTTGAGTGAGCGAGGCTCTGAATTTGATCTCTAATACCACACACAATAAAACCTATTATTTTACATAGTCCCAGACCAAAGAAATGTTAGAAGGAAAAAGAAAGTTTAAGATTTTTGTCTCAGGTCAGGGAGATGGCTCAGCTGGCAAAAGGTTTGTTTCATAACTATGAGAACCTGATATCAAATTCCCAGCTCCCACAAAAAGCTGAGTGAAATTGCACATGTCTGTAACCCCAGCACTGGGAAAAGCAGGTGGGCCCCTAAAGGTTATTGGCCAGACAGTCTAGCTGAATCAATGAGCTTCAGGTTCACTGAGACCTTGTCTGAAAAAATAACGTAGGTTGCAATTGATGAAGACACTCAACTTTAACTCTGGTCTCCACTTGCACAGACTCGAATACACATGTACACACACACACACACACACACACACACACACACACACACAGAATTTTATTTCATCATTTACATAAATATTACTACAGGCAAATGACTAGAGCAGTATCTGGTCTCTAAAATGTTTCAACCAGAGAAATAAGATTGCCATTGTCACAAGAAATGGAAGCAGGAGGGGCTGCGGAGCTACCAAGTGACAAGCCAGCAAAAAGAGTTCGGTCTCTAGAACCCATATAAAACCTGACATGATGGTTTTGCAGAGGAATCCTTGGGCTTGCCCAAAGTCCCAGTGAGAGACCCTTCCTCCAAAACAAAGTGGACATCTTGAGGAACAATACCTAAGGTTGACCTCTGACCTCTTCAGGCACACACACACACACACACACACACCCACACACACACACACACACAGCACAGCACAGAGATACACACATACCTGCACATGAATGCACATACAAATACAGCTAAGAAATACTTTAAATGGAAGGACATGAGAATTGAGTATTAGGAAGAATCATAGCTTAACCACCATCTCATAAAACTTTTGTGTTGTTGGTTTGTGAGCAGTTTGTTTTGTTTAGTGTTTTGTCTGGTGAGACAAAATCTTATTATGTTGCATAGGTGAACCTTGAACCAGCAGTGATCCTCCTGCCTCAGCCTTCAGATTGCTGGGATTACAGGTGTCTTCCACCACCCTGAGCACATGGTGCATTTCTTATATAAAATAGTAAAATCCCAAACAAGAACCTCAAGTATTAACACACATCTGTAATTTAGTATTTCTACAATGTACTTGCTGTGTTCAGCCTTCTACAACAGCTCCTCTTGATTGGCTAAGTGGAGGTCAGCAAAGACTGATATTTGTTCTTTCACTGTCTTCAGATGTCTGGTTCCTATTTGTAATTCCTAATTCCTGCTTCTCATAACTGAGTTTTCTGTTTTTTGTTTTCTTAGGAACAGGAGGACAGAGGAAATATGGTTATTGTTTTAGTGACATCGTAACTCAAGGTAATAAATGATTCTACCAAGTTTTCATTTGTTCAGTTTCATTAATTGTCGGGGCCCAAGTGTTATATTTCAGAAATATGCTCAACCCAGCCACAAATTCTAAGAGCTCAGAACTTCTATTTTCTTTTAGATGTTGGCTGATTAACTCCAGATAGTGTGGCCTCAGTGGGGAATGGCTCATATTTTGTATAATAAAAGACCTGAGCCTGGGTGAGTCTACACCCACCCTGAAGGCTAGTAAAATGTGCTGGTGTGGAGTGTCTGAGGGTTTGAGTACATGCTGCTTAGGAGTGTCTCTAGGATTAAAGGAAATATTTACTATTTAGCCCTATATACATGATAATAGATGTCTTCTGCCATTGCCCCATTTTTGGATGGTTATTTAAGATGACGTTTGAATAAACTGTCGTCTCCAGTATTGACTGGGAGCCCTCCTGTCTTAGGGTAGTTGTGTAGTTAGGCCTTCCCTCATTTACATCCCCCCACTCAGGGTTAGACCAATAGACTGCAGCATGGGACTGATACAGGTCGGACCTGGCAATTAATCCAGAACTTTATTAGACAGCTTCAATCCAATTCTTTTCTCATAAATGCACTGTTTTCAGTGTTAGGCCATTTTGTCCTTAAATTGAGCAGAACCTCAACATCTTGCTGAGCCAGTTTGTAAATTCCAATGTCATTTAAGGCTGTGGCCAGAAGGTGCTCAGAAACTGACTGCCGGACATCATTCAGGAATGATGAAGAATGGATGTTCAAATTCAGAATGATACAGGCTTCTTTTACATTGTTTAGGAAAACAAGAAAGGAGGGGAGGAGAGATTCCTATACGTAATGTAAAGTTTAAATCAACAAATACTTTTTTGCATTGTTTTAAGACTAGATCTTGCTGTGTAGTTCAGGTTAGTCTCATATTAGTAGTCCATGGTGGCTTCAACATCATGACCAGCCTGCCTCAGCCACCCAAATGCTTGTTTGTAGTGTTTACCATGGTACTAGGTAGGCTTATCTGACCCAGAACTCTGTGCAGATGGAGATAGCCTTGAAGGTGTGGCAACCCATTGTATTCCCCATTGCTCAGATGGCAGGGGTGTACCTCCCCTGCCAATTTCTTTTTCTCTCTGCAGGGTCCTTTATTTGTAATCTTGGGTTTCCTGCTCGTGACTACTCTCCTTTAAGTATCCAGTTTATCTAGATATAGGCCAAAGGTTGTCATAAACCTGATATTATGACAGTCAGAGAAAATTTTTTTGCACCAGTATTCCCAGAGGCACCTATGGATGTGTGCACAGGAACTGCCTGAGAATGAACCAAGAAATAAACTGTGGAGCAGGCATGCCTAATCTTCTCATTTACACAAATGCCTCTCTCCCCCCTATACCAGTTGGAATTGGATTTCTGTCACCTGCAACTGAAAAAAGTTCTGAATGGTTGACTATTTCAAGCGTGGCATGAATCAACAACAAATGATTATCAACAGACAATCAGAAGTAGACACAAGATGAGCTGCTGTTGCTCACAGATTATACAGCATGAGAATATACTGCAGTGTTCTTTCCCTCCTTGCCTTCCAGTCCCTATCCACACCTCCCCTCTCCTCATTCCTCTCCATTTACCTTCAAAAAAGGGCAGGCCTCCCAGGGATTTCACCCAAATGTGTCATATAAAGTTGCAGTAAGACTAGGTACTTTAAGGCAATCTCGTAGGAGGAAAAGCGTCCCAGAACCAGGCAAATTAGTCAGAGACAATTCCTGTTTCTACTATTAGGTGTCCCACAGGAAGACCAAGCTACACAGCCATAACATATTTGAAGAAGGCCTAGGTTAAACCCATGTCATTTAGTCTCTTTAAACCCCTATAAGCCCTAGTTAGTTGATTCCTTGAGTTTTCTTATGGTGTCCTTGACCCCTCTGGATCCTATAATCCTTCCCCCCTCTCTTCCTCAGGACTCCCAGAGCTCTGCCTAATGTTTGGCTCTGGGTCTCTGCATCTGTCTCTCTCAATTGCTGAATAAAGTCTCTTTGATGATGATATTATGCTAGGTCTATGAGTATAGCAGAATATTATTAAGAATCATTTCATTGACTTTTTTTTTCTTTTGCCAGCTGTGTTTGGTTCTATCCTAGGTCTCTGGGCTATCCAGCTTCTGGTTCCTGGGTCTCCAGGCACTGTCAGGAGTTGGACTGCCTCCTGTGGCATGGGTCTCAAGCTGCATCAGTCATTGGTTGGCCACTCCCACAATTTCTGTGCCACCTTTACCTCAACACATGTTATAGGCAGGACAAATTGTAGGTCAAAGGTTTTGTGCCTGGGTTGGTGTCCCAATCCCTCCACTGCAAGTCTTGTCTGGTTACAGGAGATGGCTGGTTCTGCTTCTGTATCCCCCATTACTAGGAGTCTTAGATAAGGTCACCATGGTAGATTCCTAGGAATTTCCATTGCACTAGGTTTCTACCTTATCCCTAAGATGCTCCCCAATTCCAGTTGTCTCTCCTGGTACTCTCTTTCTCTCCATCCTCCCTGCAACTAATCCATCCAGTTCCCATCTCCATCTGCCCTCAATCTACCCATGAAATCTATTCTATTTCCATGAATAAGGGAGATCCATGTGTTCCCCTTGAGCCCTCCTTGTTACTTGGCTTCTCTGGATCTGTGGATTGTAGCCTTTAAAGCTAATACCTACTTATAAGTCAGTGCATACCATGTTTGTTTTTTTTGGGGGGGGCGGTGGATGGGTTACCTCACTCAGGAAGATTTTTTTCTAGTTCCATCCTTTTGCCTGAAAATTTCATGATGTTATTTTTTTAACAGCTGAGTAATACTCCATTGAGTAAATGTACCACATTAAAAAAATCCATTCTTTGTTTGAGAGACATCTAGGTTGTTTATAAGTTCTGGCTATTACAAATAATCTACTATGAACATAGTTGAACAAGTGTCCTTGTGGTGTGGTAGAGCAACCTATGGATATATGCCCGGAAGTAGCTGGTATACTCTTGAGGTAGATAGATCCCCAATTTTTCTAGGAACCACCATATTGATTTCTAAATTGACTGTGCAGGTTTGCACCCCCACTAGCAATGAAGGCGTATTCCCCTTGCTCCACATCTTCCCAAGTATGAGCTGTTAATTGTGTTATTGATCTTAGTCATTCTGGCAGGTGCAAAATGGAATCTCTTTTTGAACACTTCTTTAAGTGCTTCTTGGTCATTTGAGATTCCTCTGTTAAAAATTCTCTGATAAGAGCTGTACCTCACTTTTTAAAATTGGATTATTTGATTTGCTGATGTCTAGTTTCTTGAGTTCTTTATATTTTGAAATTAGCTCCCTGTTAGATGAGGAGTTGGTGAAAATCTTTTCCCATTCTGTGTACCACCATTTTGTCCTATTGATGGTATTCTGTGCCTTACAGAAACTTTCTCATTTCATGGGGTCCCATTTACTTATTGATGATCTTAGGGCTTGAACTATTGGTGTTCTCTTCAGGAAGTTGTCTCCTGTGCCAATGCATTCAAAGCTACTTCCCACCTTCTCTTCTATTGGGCTCAGAGTGTCTGGTTTTATGTTGAGGTTTATATGGATCTATTTGCATTCTTCTACATGCTGACCTCCAGTTAGACCAGAACCATTTGTTGAAGATGCTTTCTCTTTTTCCCCATTGTATACTTCTGGCATCTTTTTCAAAAATGAGGAATTCATAGGTGTGGGGATTTATGTCAGGGTCTTTGATTCAATTATATTAATCCAGTTATCTATTTTTATGCCAGTACCATTCAGATTTTTATTAATATAGCTCTGTAGTACAGTTTGAAATCAGGGAAGGTGATATCTCTGGAAGTTCTTTTACTGTATAGGAGAATTTTAGCTATCCTGGGTGTTTTGTTTTTCCATATGAAGTTGAGTATTGTTCTTTCAAGATCTATAAAGAATTGTGCTTCAAATTTATTTTAAATTTTTTCTTTTTTTTCTTTCCTTTTTTTTTGGTTTTTCAAGACAGGGTTTCTCTGCAGCTTTGGAGGCTGTCCTGGAACTAGCTCTTGTAGGCCAGGCTGGTCTCGAACTCACAGAGATCTGCCTGCCTCTGCCTCCCCAGTGCTGGGATTAAAGGTGTGCGCCACCACCACCTGCTAAAATTTTTATTCATTTTACATACCAACCACAGTTACCCCTCCCTTCCCTAATCCAGTTCCCCACCCTCCCATCCACTTCTCAGGAGGGTAAGGCCCTCCCATTGGGAGTCAACTAAACCTGGCATATTAAGTTGAGGCAGGACCAAGAACCTCCACCTAGCATCATGGCTGAGCAAGGTATCATATCATAGGGAACCTATACCAAAAAGCCAGGTCATACACCAGGGATAAATCCTGGTCCCACTGCCAGGGTTCCCACAAATAGACCAAGCCTTGTCTTTGAATTTTGGTGGGGATTACATTGAATTTGTAGATTGTTTTTTAGCAAGATGGCCATTTTTACTATGTTAATTCTACCGACCCAGTAGTATGGGAGATTTTTCTATCTTCTTATATCTTCTTCAAAGACTTGAAGTTCTTTTCATACATATTATTTAGTTGTTTGGTTACAATTACCCTAAGATATTTCATATTATTTGTGGCTATTGTGAAGCTTTTTGTTTCTCTGAATTCTTTCCTGGCATGTTTATCAATTGTATATAGGAGTTTATTGAGTATCCAGCCAATTTGTTGAAGGCGTTAATAAGGAGTTCCTTGGTAGAATTTTTGAGGTTTCTTATGTATACTCTCATATCATCTGTGAACAGATACACTTTGATTTCTTATCTTGTAATTTGTATCCCCTTGATCTCCTTCAATTGTCTTATTGCTCTAGCTAGAACTTCAAGTACAATATTGAATAGATATAGAGAGACTGGACAGTCTTGTCTTATTCCTTATTTTAACTGAATTGCTTTGAGTTTCTCTCCATTTAATTTGATGTTGACTGTCAGCTTGCTGTATATTGTTTTTATTGTTTAGGTATGTTCCTTGTATCCATGATCACTCCAAGTCCTTCATCATAAAGGGATGTTGGATTTTGTCAAAGGCTTTTTTAGAATCTAGTGAGATGATCATGCATCTTTTTCAGTTTGTTTACATGGTGGATTTTGTTGACAGATTTTCATATGGTGAACCATCCTTGCAACTCTGGGATCAAGCCTATTTGGTCAAGGTGTGTGATTTTTTTTTATGTGTTCTTAGATATTGTTGAGTATTTTTCCATCAAGGCTCATGAGTGAGATTGGTCTGTAATTGTGGGTTTTTATTTTTTTTTCTTATGAACAAGCTTATTTCAAGTCCCTTCTCCCTCTCCCTCTCCTCACCCCCAACCCTCCTCCCCCACCCCCAGCCCACCCCCCACCCCACCCAC